ATCTAATTTGTGACCCTATCTTTGCGCATATCCATTTGTTAGTAGGATTCATTACAAACAAATAGAACAAGTCTAACGGAGCCATCATCTATGTAGGATTGATATGTATAAGTGTATGCTATTATATCGTTTGAAATGGATTGAATGCTATCAGTTAGTTGTGGTAAGCAGAAGTCGCGCACATTGGTATACCGGATGAGATCAAAATTTCACGCAAAAACTCAAGAGTATTAGTTATTGTACTCAACAAAAGTTGACAATTACCGTATCAATAATTATGACTTATGTTATTGCACGTCTTTGATGTTACTTATTCTCGGTGTTCAATCCTTAGGGAATGACACACCTCTGAAGATAAGCTTCTACTAAATGTCTTCGCTACGACGAGAACTTTTTTAAAGTTTTTGAAATCGCATGAGAGGGGAAAAGCTCAGATGACTAGATTATAGGTTCTCAGGAAAACCTTGACATTAGGAACTTTCGGCTCCCTCGCTATTCTATTCTTTGTGTCTCAGCTATATCGTCGTGAGTGATTAACTGATGATCTAATATTTCATACTTCACTTTCAGAAAAGGCGATGATCATGTTGATAAATTTTACGATGAAAAACGGTGCGTGCCAACTTGGTCAAACATAGCCCCGACTTAGCCTTTTTAGAGTATTTATTCAACATTGAATAAACAAACTGACCGTATGTGCAGCTGCATAGCTTTCCCTAATGTCTGTATATAAGGATGTTTCGAACGTACTCTGACAGCGAACATGTTCGTCTTCACCTTCCTGCTTAGTGCACTCATGAAAGTTGCAATTTCACAGGTGATTTTTTTTGATATGGTAGTGTTAGGCTGTTGGCATCTTTCAAAGTTTAGAATGATGAATAAGGACTGATAGAAGTGAAGGCAGCTGTACCCTGTCGAGCTGTTTGATTGACGGAACAAGAGTTTTTTGGAATTTCAAGGACTAATAATATGAAAAATCCTAATTTTCTCTCTCTTTAAATAATCGCTAGTGGTGTCAATGTTCAACCCTTAGAATTCACCAAAAGTGAAAAATCCTGAATATTAAAAACAAAAATTCTTTTCAATGTCCATATAACCGCTTAGTTCTAGGTTTGCACACGAGAAGATTGCAGCAATCATGGCAACTGCGTCGGACTCAAAACAATGCCTATTTGCATGTGTGATATAGGACATTTTGGAACAAAGTGTGAACATGGTAAGGCTTCTCAAGAAAATGTTTTTTTTGGGAAATTTTTGAGGGGCAGCCGTTACATTGAAGGAAAGGAGTCATTTGGGTTAATTTCGCAACAGAATAAAGGCTATCATCCTTACTTTATCGAGTGTTTTGTGCTCGACTATAAGAAATTGTCTGATATCAAATAGCACGTTAGAACGTTAGTCC